TCTTTTTGTGGATATGGAGTCTCTGACATCAGTGGAAACCTCAAATGACAAGGTATTAACTTCGACCTTTGAGCAATTTTGCTCAGTTGTAATGCTTGTGGGCTAACGCCTTTCAGTTTTAGTTGTTTTCCTTCATTAAAGTGGAAAGCAAATTCAAGATTTTAAAAAACGGACTTTGGGTTGAATAATTATAAATTAAATCCCTTTGGTCTTATGGCAGTCTCTTAATTATATGCCTTCACTTACATCCATTTTCCCCCTACAGTGGGCTCATTCAGTTCTTCTATACTGTCGCTTCTGGAAGCAGCTTTAAGAGAAAATGACTCTCAGCTAGCTGGGACCTAGACTGGAAGGAAAGGGGAGGAGCTGGGAGGAACCCGTAGTAGCCAATTATTCTGTGTCCACCCCCCCCCCCTTTACTTGGTTGACAAGTAAGCTAATTCAGTGTTTGAAGGTGTAGCCTCCACTAGGGATATAATGAGTATACAGTATGGATAAAAGTATTATTTATCGTATGCTTATTTGTCCTATGACCGTTAACCCTGTGATGATGTCTTTTGTTGTAACTCTTTTTGCTGCAGATACTGGATATCTTGCTCCCTTTGGTCTTCAAACACCCTACACTGGAGAGTTGGTTCCTGGCTGTAGAACAGCATTCTCTTCCACATCACAATTTAAGCCCACTTGCAGTGAAGCATCTCTCTGCTCATCTGAATAACTGCATCCTTGAGTTGCTGAGGGTGGGCTGTCCACTGTTACAAGCCAGGAATCAACTGCTTGTGATCTCCAGATACTTTGAAGCTGTCACTAAAACGGTCTTGAAAGAACTGCACAATGGGAGAAGAGGAGGAAGTAAGACATATTTCACAAGGTCACAGCAGCTAGAGGCTTTGCAAGATCTGCACATGTACATGGACTCCCAACAGATAGAAGAAGTCACATTGGCTATGCTGCAGGTTCCTAAAGCAAATCTAGCCACCAAGAAATCTGAAACTTCCTCTGGCAAGAAATCATGCCTGAGTGCTTACGGAGAGATTCTAGTGCAGCTTCTCACTGAGAGCTACCAAAGAGGGTCCTTGAAGGGAGACTTCTTTTTTTCAAGAGAGCACATTCAAGGGGTGGGAATTCTTTTGTCTACAGCAGCCACAGAGGAGTTGGAGAAGGTCTTCATGCATGCTATAGAGAAAGAGCCTGTCTTTGCCCAGGCAGTTGGAGTTGATACTCAGATTTTCTGCCTGAATCATGCAACAGAAACTTCCCTTTCCATTGCTGCTTTGCTGATTCAGTATTGCCGGACTCATCTGCTGCAGTTTGAGCTGTGGTGTCTGAAGCATGGGACCGGCGAGTACTTGAGACAAAACATGGGCTTATTTCTGCCACTCATCAATATGTATTTGCAGTGTCAAGAGCAGCATCGTTTTACACACCCATCAAAAGGTAACAGACAGCTTACTGATTAGTCCTCACATATGCCTCACATATGGTTCTTTAGGAGTTGTAAATATTTTGAGTCTAAGGCCTAGCTCACACATGCAGGAACAGAGGCCACAGATCTAAAGTGGCAGAATGGACCATCTCTTTGAAATGGAAATGGAAAGTCTTGGGGGATCGTGTTGTGGAATGGCCCTATATTAAAACCTCCTTGCAAACAGAAAATCAGCACAGCCAGAAAAGAGATGAGTTAGAACCTTTCTACTTATTCTGTTAGCTTTCTGTCTGCTTTGAGTTTGTATTAAGATAAAAAGGAACATTCAAAGGTGAAATCCACCATCTGCATTGTGAAGTGGTTCAACCCATTTTTACCAGACTGCTACTTCCTTTTTCTGTATATGTGAAAAAGGCCTTTGTTTATTGGGGGAGGCAATCTTTTGCCTCCACCCTTTTATTAAATCTTCAGGGTAGCTTACAGAATCCATAAAACAACAGTCAGTTGACAAAAACTGCAGTAAAAGCTGTAGAAAAGAGTCCAGTAGCACCATGTTAGGCAGACCATCTATCTGCAGTAAAAGCTGTAAGAGCAAATCATGAACTGGAGATCAGTTATGAAGTAAAACTGGGGGTGGGGGGGACAGTAACAATCAATTATAGTCCAATTACTAAGGGCAGAAAAGAGTTTTAAATGCCAGTGTTATGAATACTATTAATATATGTGTGTCTAGTCCTAAAAATGTATCTACTTCTAGAAAATGAGCCAGCTCATGACAAAATCTTTTTTCCTAAACTCTAAGGCTTACAAATACATGTCAGTTTTATTAATTTAAAAATGTCTCTTAAAATCGTTTGCTGCAGTTCAGCTTGTCATTTATATCTAGCCTATAACATTATCTGATTTTGTCAGATGGTTTCTCATTTCTGAGACCTGTGTGTCTCAGCTGTTTTCCTTCAGCCTCCCCCCCCCCCATTATTTGGGGTGGATCCAGCAATTTGCTCGTACAAGGATCACAGACCTTTCAGTTTCTACTTCCACCAGCAGTACCTTCCGCTCTTGGGAAAGTTGATTCCCAGGGTCAAAGGACTTTTTGTGGAATAATAGCCACAGAGGTTGGTAAGCTGCAGTGAGGAAGGAAATAGGCACAATCCCTTCCTTCTCTTTCTCCTTCCCCATCAACAAAGCTCCACAGACAGAAAAGAACTTTTTACTGTGTAAGTAATTTCACAAGATGTTTTTAGATTATTTAACAGCAAGCATTTTGTGAATTTTTACAGCTGATTTTGAATACCATTTTTTTAATGGTAGCAAACATGCAGTTAGCTTGTCAACCATCAGCTTGCTGCCTTGTTTGTTACATAATTCCCTGACACAAAGGCCATGTTTATTAGTCCAAAATACCAGGTAATGCCTATAATGATCAAAAAGGGGAAATTATTTTACATATTACATTTCTCCATTGGTGGTAGGAGGGTGTTCTGCAAGTGAGTTACTTTTGTTGCATGCTCCAACATGCTCTATTTTCATTGGCTAGCTAATTTGTCCCATCCAGTAGGGTGAGGCCCCTCCCAGCTTCAGTGAACACTGGATAGTATGAAAAGAGCTCTCAACCAAGTTTGCTTGGCACAGCCCGTTAAGAATCCTGTTCTATTGGATATTTCATCTGCTGGGAGAGAATATTTCACCATGGTCTCTCTTGGCCTGGTAGATTTACTGCTGTGTACAGCAGGAATCTGGTATTTTATTTGAAAGACTTTAAGCTGTACAATATTGTGCACTTCTTCTTGCTCATCTGTAAGCCTATGACATTCCATCCTGTAGCTGATTTTTTATCCTTCTTCCCTACAGTTTCTTCAGCTGTTCTGTGTGTTCTAAGAGAATCTTTGTGGCCAGAACTGTTGGAAATATTCCTGAATACAGATGTGTCAAAGCCATTGACAGATGAGTGTCAAGTTCTTTCCAAGATACTGCCATCTTTACAAGTGGAAGACTTGAAAAATCTAGTTGAAATGTTACCTGTAGCTCTTGATGCAGTGGGAAGTCTTGAGCAGTAAGTCCATGTAATTTTTGAGTCTACATTGTGACCATTGCAACTAACCATCAAAACTTTTATTCCAAATCCAAATACCTTTATTGGAATAAACTAAACTTTTATTGGCACTGCCATACACAAATATGATTTACAATATGTTGACTCATAAGCATTGTATAAAACAGCCAGTTATTTCAGAAGTGTATAAATTGTCATTAAAAGTGAGCTAAAAATGTTAAAAATTGTCCTCACTTGGCTTCAAGGTACTTCGGCTTTTCCTGAAACAAGAAGAGAGTCTGTCTACGTTCTGTCAGACCAAATCCACTTTTTCTGTCTCCTTGGGGGAATGGCAGATAGAAAATACCAGTTTAGATTAAAAAAACTTTGTGGATACTTTGAAAACCTAATGCTCAAAGCTTTTAAATTTGGAAGTTGGCTAGATCAGGCAACAGAGATTTCTTTCTTGAGTGCTGCCCAGTGCCAGTTATTAAAGAGAGATTGTTCTTAATCCTTTACCAGAATAGAGGCTTGCAACCTTTATACAGAATAATTGGACCAACAAAATCTTGTGGTGGTCCTTACATTAAACCTAATAGTGGGTCTGTCTTTAATTGGGTAGAATGATCTCATAGTACAAAGTGTCTGCAGTATTCTGGAATGGCTGACCTCCTCTGTAAAAATGCTATCAAGTATCACTTCTCCTTGCAGCCATGTAGTAGTGAGGGAAGAGCATTGGTATTAAAACAACAGGACGGCATTATTGATCTGTTCATATTTCTTGCAGCTGGGTGGCTGCAGATGCTGTTTCAAGAGCACTGGAGAGCTCTGAAGAGAAGGTGTATTCCTGGAAGAAACGCTTACTAGCTGTCTGTATCAAATGGTTAATTCTCACTTACAGCAATAGCAAAGAACAAGAAACTCATTCAGAAATGGAGACTGCCATGCTGTCAAGGCTAGAAGAATTACTGGTGAGGACTGGGGGTTTTCTGCTTGTGTATCCTTCCTTTTTTTCTCTCCGTATCCTTTTGCACAGGATGGTGAGTTGCAAGCACAACAGCAGCTGAGGAGTGTGATTAAAACAGACAAACAGAAGTCCAGTGGCACTATAAAGACCAACACAATTTATTCTAGAATGAGCTTTCAGGAGACAGAGCTCGCTTCTTCAGATACAATAGGAATGCCATGAATTTCAATACATGCCCACTAGGGAGCGCATAAGCACAACTATTTGCACGTTAATGTGCAAGCTTCCTTGCAGTCTCCTCTGCTTTTCCTCTACTCACAGTGTCCTTAAATACAGTTCCAGCTGAGAGGATGACAACAATAACAAAGATAAATAAAAACAGCAATACATTAAACCAAGGTACTAAAAATGAAATAGCCAAATGAGCAAAAAGTATTAAACAGCAACAACTAAAATCCATTTTGTGGCTCATTCAAAACTAACTTAAAACCTTAGAACCTTAAAAGCAGCCCTAATATAAAAATAAAATTAAGAACATCAATAAAAATATCAAAAAATGTAGACTTTCTTTGAAAGCTAATTTTGGGGAGAGAGTTCATTTAGCCTCAGTCTGGGGCACCCAGTGAAACTGATGGGCAGTAGATTCAGGACAGACAAAATTACTCAATGAGTAATTAAATTGTGGAATTCACTGCTAATGGATGTAGTGATTGCGAAGTGCATGCACGGCTTTAGACAGATTCATGGATAACAGCCCAGAATATCTACAGCAACTAATGAACTGTGGCCGTGAAAGCCTTCGACAACATATCGTGGAGAACAGTTTTATCAGTGGCCACCAGTGGTGTCTAAAGGGAACCTCCATATTCAGAAGCAGTAAACATCTGAAAACCAGGAGGCAACATCGGGGGAAAGGCCTTAGTCTCTACACCCTGTTTGTTTTGCTTCCAGGGTTGGCCATTGTGTGAAACAGGATTCTGGACTTAGATGGACCACTTGTCTTGAACCATCATGGTTGCGGTTCTGTTTCCCTATACATGAATGTTTCTTTCTGAAGCGGGCTCATAGCATTTGGTTTAGACAGTCACTGTAACTTTCAATGCTTGTAGGTAAATCCAGTTGGTTTTAATGGAAGTTTGTTCTAAGAAAAAGACTGGAGTTGAGAGATGCATGCAAAGCCGAAGGTACATATGATGTCCTTGAGAGTCAGATTTTTAAACAAATTATGCATTGGTGTAATACATTACCCTTTATTGGTGTTACTTTTTTGGTGCGTTGGCTTTCATATATGCTAGTTCAAAAATTCAAAATAAGGGCAGAGGTTACTGAAAGTTTTAATATTTTATCCCTTTCACCATAGTATATGTTAAATGTTGTGCTGTGTTTCCTACCAATCCAGCATTCAGTAACTGAAGTGGTTCCAGAGGACTGGCATAATTTTGTGAAGATGGGACTCAAGTAAGCAAATTTTATGATTCAGCTGTGGTGCATTAAACACTTGGTGCTTTTATAAAGAGCTAGTTGCTAAAACACAACTTTGCTGTCTTCTAAATACCCTCTCTAACATAGAAATAGGAATTCTCGTACCTATGCAAATCATCTCTCTCATTAAAACTTGGCATTTTTCATTTCTGCTAAAGTTGTGACTAGTGATGCCAGAAAATTCAGAATTATCTGGTACAGAATACAAATTTGCATAGTTTGTAATGCTGGGGTGTGTAATAAGTGCAACATAATTTCCCTGAGTGCTCAGAGTGTACAACAGAACTCTGCGTGTGCAGAGTGTGGTGGTCAAGCCCTAGGAAAGTGCAAGGGGAAAGATGATTTGTAATCCTTGGGCTTGTCTAACTGTAAACAGGAAAGCTCCAGGAAAGCTGAAAAGCTATAGGCTAACTCTATTTATTTTATTATCTGGTTGTTCTTTTCTTCCCTGGCTTTTAGTTTCTTGGCCATTTTTGGTTCATGGTGGGGAGGCAAAAATATTCTCCCCTGAAGCTTCATTCAGCACATTGCTAGGATATCATTTTACAGGGAAAAGCACATTTCGTTCAGTGTGTTCCCTGATTATGCTTGTAAGTGCTGACTCAGTTCCAAACAGAGCTGAGGGAAATGTGCTTGTGGCCAGTTGCAAGTGCAAGACACCATTGAATGGTGATTTTGATTTTCCCAGTTGCAGTTACCATTGTTCTTGCTGCAAGACTTGTCAAATTTGAACCTCATTTTAAATGAGTACCTTTCTGTTGATCCGGTCAGATATAGGTTCTATAAAGATGCTTTCCTTGTATGCTGGTATGAACATGGGGTTCACTGTTAGTTAAAATAGTTCATGAGAGGCACTGGGATGTTTGGAGAAGATGCTTGAGCAAATGCTGTGAGGTGTTGCATTACCTGAATAATGGATATTACCTGAATATAAGAAAGTACAGTACAAGCATAGGATTTGTGATCTGTTGCAGAACCTCAGCTATACTCTTCCATTTTGCTGTAGTTCTTTTGACTTGGCTGCAAACATGAAGGAGGTGTTAGGAAAAATTGTACAAGGAAGTATAAGGTTGAGTAGGACATTCAACTCTCAAGAAATGGACCTTTAGTATTCTAGCTAGTTTAGTATCCTCCCCAGCCCAGAAATCCATCATTCCCCAGTCTTCCTGCCCTTCATGTCTTCTGTTCATTTGGTCACTGACAAATAAAATCCCAAATCTTTGAAAACACAGCTGTTGGAAGCAGGATAAATTATGTGAAATAAGGGCAAATTTTGCTCAACAAGGTCATAAGATTGAGGTTTCTAGTCCAGAATCCACATTGTTTTATTTGGCATTAATCGTGTCGTGAATAATATGAAATGATCCCTTTTCAGTCTTCATTTAATCCTTGTTGTAGGAAGTACAGTCATCTAAAGTACAACTGGACCACTCACAAGCCAAGCCAGTATCTGGGGCATAATTCTTTTCTTCATTAGCTTTACTAGCAAAGTGAAATGGGGTGGTTGTTTTTTTTTTGGGGGGGGGGGAGTTGTTTTTGGTTTCACTATCTTTTAATCTCTTTCTCCAAGGTACCGTTATAAGGACGAAGATTTCATGAAAACTCTAAATGCAGCTATAAATTTGTTGTACCAGAAAGAAATGTATCTTAGTCAGAGATTAGTCAAGCCATCCATTCTTTATATGATGATCACGCAACACTCTTTATTTTTGTCAACAATGCTGAGGTCAAGAGAAGACGCTGACATGAATGTTCATACAAGAGGTATCTGTCCCTTTTTGTTTCCTGGTGTGTCTATATATAAACCAAGTGTCTTTCAAATGTTGTTTTTAATCTCTCCAGTTATCAGCCCACCTACGTATTTTCTGAGCTGTTCTATCTGGAACATGATTATTTTAGCATTGGATCTACACAGTTTAGCTCCCCTCCTTCATTAACATTGCATTTTTTTTCTCTGTATGTCTTACTCAGTTCAGATACTTGCTCTTGCCATGATTCTGAAATACTGAAATCATTCAAAGTACCCATGTTTCACAAAGGGAGTAAGAAATGCTGTTTGATCAAATTGTTATGAGGAATGCTTGCACTGCATTTACATGAAACCACACATACCACAGAGGCACAGGAAACAACAGAGATCCAATAAGCGCAGAAGACACATTTCTTGATGATGATGAGATAAATCCCACCTCAATTTGAGCCCAAAGACCTTCATCAAAGAAGTATAATAAAATCTGAATAATAATTGGATAATGATTAACTACACCATACCCACATGGAGAGCCAGTGTTTGGTTAGAATGCTATATCTGGGAGACCAAGGTACAGATCCCCCCTCTGCCATGCGAGTTTGCTGGGTGACCTTGAACCAGTCACTTTCTCCTGGCACAACCTACCTCACAGGATTTTGTGAAGATAAAATGGGGGAACCATGTGTACCACTGTGACTTCCTTGGAGAAGGGGCAGGATAAAAACATACTTAAATAAATGGTAATCATGAATAGACCATGCTGCATAGGATAAAACATGCAACAACAAATTTCAGTGTATTTATAAATGCAATGAAGTAATTGCAAACATATACTGTGTGTGTCTGTTAAGTGCCATCAAGTTGCTTCCAACTTATGGCAACCCTATGAATTAATTACCTTCAAACATCCTATCATTAACAGCCTTGCTCAGGTCTTGCAGACTGATGGCTGTGAGTGACTTCCTTTGTTGAGCCAATCCATCTCATGGTGGGTCGTCTTCTTTTCCTGCTGCCCTCAACTTTTCCTAGCAGTATTGTCTTCTCCAGTGACTCTTGTCTTCTCATAATGTGACCAAAGTTCAATAGCCTCAGTTTGGTCAGTTTACCTTCTAGAGAGAGTTCAGACTGGATTTGATTTATATTTTTTGTGGTCCATGGTATCCATAAAACTCTCCTCCAACACCACCTTTCAAATGAATCAACTTTCTTCTTGTCAGCGTTCTTCATTGTCCAACTTTCACACCTATACATAGGATGAATTACCTTGATCTTGGTCGCCTGTGACACATCCTTACACTTAAAAATCTCTTCTAGCTCCTTCATGGCTGTCCTTCCTAGTCTCAATCTCCTTCTGATTTCCTGAGTTGCAGTCTCCCTTTTGGTTGATGATGGAGCCAAGGAATAGAATGCTGTCTGACCTTGGGGTTCCATCTTCCGGCACTATTTTTTTTCCATTTTGGAGTGTCTCTTCGTAGGTTTTTTGAGGTAAGAGATTATCAGAAGTGGCATACCATTGCCTTCTGCACAGTACTAACCAAGGTTAGCTGAAGTAGCACTGCCAATGTCTATGATAGATCCTCTGTCAGTGTCACCTTCCACAACTGCTGCTGCCCAGTAGCTACCCTTCAAGGATTCCTCTGCCCCCATCACCAGTGGAACTGTCCGTTCTCTTCTGCTGACGTGGCTGTTGATCCCTAAAGGGAGGGGATACACCTTAGTCTGGTGTCTCCGCCTCTTGACAGAGTCTAAACTCCTTTTGGAATTGTTCTCAGCTTTGCTGACACACAGACCCCGTCACCACATTAAGGAACATGTCCAAGAGGGGAAAACATGCACTAGAAGTATATAAAACCAAATGTAAACTCCACCTCACCTCCTAAAGAATAAATAATAGTTAAAATGCATATACTGCAACCAAATCTAACAGTTCCCAAAACAAAACGAATATAAATAGGTGCTTAATTCACGTGGCTTAACCAAAACTCGGTGGTTTTAAATTAGAGTGATGATTGGAACGTGTTGCATGTTCATCTTATGTTGTTTGATTGGTCATTATCTTTACCATTCAAGGTTTTGAGTAATTAATAACATATTTTTGTGTCAGTTGTCTGGTGAAGAACTAGCTGCTCAAAACATGTTGGCCATATAAAGTCTGTGTCAGTATTTTTTTTTTCTCCTGGGCCTCTTGAATCCACCTTTTACTGTTTTATATGGACGTTACTTCTTGGTATTAAATGAACTTGAAAATAATCCACTCATTTTGGATGGCCGGAAGTCTTAATCCAGGTAACTACTGTTTGTCAGTTACCCTGAAAACCTCAGCTTTCTCCCGTCTTTGATTACTGACTGGTCCTTATGGCTGTAGCAGAATAATGCTGTTAGCTCAGTTGAAGATGTAGGCAGAGCTAAGATGGAAGTAACAGGACTACATGGACTATGATGTTAAAAGGGTCTCAAAAGAAAGGACCCAGGAAGACCAGGAAAAAAAACTGTATACAAATGAGTTGATTAGCTCTCAGAACCAGCAGTCAGCACAAGTGCAGAGGTCTGTGACTTCCCATGTCAGAGCAGATGAGAAAGGGTGAACATAAGTTAAACCCAATAAGTCTTCACAAATAATTGCTGTGGGAGTGAGGTAAGAAGTCTCATCTCTCCTAACAAATGCCCTTTGACATTTTAGGGGAAGGTCCTCTATGTATTAAAAGAACATGGATTCTGCGAATTGAAAGTATCTGCTAGCCTTATTTTTAAAAACTGTATAAACAGGATTATGACAAAATGTTACTCATAGTGTAGCTTATATCTTGCTGTTGACAGTTGGAAATCACTGGGAAGTTTTCCTGCTTGGCCCAAGTGAATGAAAGGGAGCTGGGCAAGGAAAGTTCTTGCGTTGCTCCACTCATAACTGTGTACAGGAAAATTTTGTCGCCCCCAAACCTTATTGCCCCAAGGAGCAGCTGGAAAAACCTTTTAAAGTGTTAGGTTTAGGAACAAAGTCATCTTGAAAACAGGAAATATGTGTTTCTATTTTGCTTCAGAGGCATTAGTGGACATACTGTTGACTCTTGTGAAGCGCTGCCCTGAAGTGTGTGAGAGTAACCATTTTGCTGTGCTGCTCGGGGCCTATGGTGCAACTCTGAGTGTTGTAGGTAAGTCTGTCTCTTCTTGGAATATATGTAGGTTAAGAATTCATAATGTCGAACTAGGATGGCCAACCCGTGGCTGTAGTGCAGGCACCTGCAATTTCTGGATGCTTCAAGAAAATGAACAGAAATGGAACTAAAAGAAGAATGATTTCATGTGCACTTAGGGATGCAAGTGAACGAAGCCTTCTTTATCCCAATTCTGTTCTCTCCAAGTAATAATGAAAGGAGAAAAGAGGAATCTTGGGGGGCTGTGTGTTTGTTTAAGAAGTAGTAGGCTACTAGCTGAAGGGACTTGGTATTTGGGGTCCTTAAGAGGGGGTAGTTATGGGAATTGGGGCTAATTAGGAAAAGGGTAAGCAGAGCAGTGACTTGGTGGACATTGGGTGGAATGTCATGTGTCTTTTGTGTCATTCAGGAATATAGGGTCTCTTATGTGTGACTCTGTGCTGATTCAAATTGGCATGTAAACTATTCGATGTCTCATCAGTAAACCATGCGACCTACCTTCAGCAAAGAGTATTGTGTTTGAAGTGATGTTGGGCAATATAAAAACTCTGCTGAGTTTAAGCGGCAATTGCTGTTTCACACATGCAAGCCCTCATTTAACATGGCAGTGATCAAGTAATGCAAATGCTTCTGTGAACTCACTCTGAGACTTAGGATGTATCCACAGATCATTGAATATTATGCTGTCATTTCACTATAACAAATACCTCCTGGATTGTCTTGTCCATACAAGAAAATCCACTTGTGAATTATCACAGTGGCACAATAGAGGCTATTTTTACACGAAGTTTTATTCAGACAGGCAGTCTTTGAGAAGCAGCCATCAATGTGTGAATGTAACCTTGTGGCCTCCTCAGGTACATACCATATTTATCTTCTCCTTTTTTTAGACCAGAAGATATTGCTGCTGCTGAAGTTGTATGAAAAGAATGGTCTAAGTCTTGTAAATTTCAGGTTAGATTATCAGCATCTTAATGTGTTATATGGCTACTGTGCTTGCAGTGTGTCAGTTTAACTTTGCTGTGGATTATTTGCCTGTGGCTGTCACGTGCTGTGAAGGTCGGTGTCTTAAACAGAACTAGCAGGATATAAAGCTTGACCAGTGTGGTCTCTACCCCAGCCCTCTACCTGACAGACTGAACTCAAGTGGCTTCTGAATGTAATAAATTCTGCATTCATGAGGGAAACGGAAAAAGAACAGTAACTCTTATTTACTCCCAGGGACAGGGGATGATTCAGAAAAAAGGATAGAAACTAATTACAGGTATAACACAGTGTTGCTAGGCCCATTCATTTATAAGATTACAGTTGATAATTTGGGAGTGTAGAAAGCAGTTAGCAGACAGGTGTGTGTTCTTGAGGTGAACATTGGCTGTTTGAGAGAAATTGGGGCTTTGAGACAGCTTCAGTCTCTTCATCAAGCTAGCCTGCTTTATCACAGAAGACAGGTTCTGAGACTTCCAAAGTCTCTCCAAACTCTGGAGACAGTTTAGCCTGCTTACACACAAGGCAGACTTTGAGACAGGGTCCCTCCAGTCTCTGTCTGTCTGAAGACTCAGCCCCTATCTGATTAAAAACTAAGGAGTCTCTCTCACTCCCTCCTTCCCATTTCTCTCCTCCAGCCCTTCTAGGGAAACTGATTGGCTGCTAGCTGCTCTGCTCACACATTAAAAGGACTAAAGGAGACTTAGGATTTTTTTTCCAGAAAAGGGAAGGATGATTGCCTGTCCATCACACATGCCACATCCAAAAAAGCTATTACGCAAAAGGCATTTTGTGTTCCAATATAGAATTAAGTCCGAGCATAGGTAAAGGCACTCCTTAGGCATTATCTCATATCTCTACCCTGATCCAGCAAAGGTTACATAGGGATCAGAACTGTCAATCTATGGGCTCCCTCTCTCTTGAGGCTCAGCTGGTACCTACTTTACATCCAGCTGAAAATGGACAATGTTGAGAATAACCCATCTCCTGCCACTTGCTCTGGCTACTCCAGTGGTTGTGGAATATGCCTAGAGTTATGAAGCCCTCTTAACTTCGTTCATGACAGCAGTAGCTTACTTTTGCATTACTTCCGTTCTCAAACACGTCAATATGTTACTATTAGTAACTTAACAGTAGGCTACTGCTGTATTTGAAGCAGCATAAAGGATGACTCCTTAGTCTCTCCTTTATTCTTGCTGCCTCCTCTGTTCATGTTCACTAGCTGAAAGCAAAGTGGATCCCCTAGTGCAAAGAGTTGTGCAAGTAATTTGGGCTGCCATCTCCCAAGGAGATGGGATTGGGCGGTTTTAGCCCTTATACCCTTATATAAGGGAGGTCTTAGCCATGCGTACCATGCTTTTGCCTGCAAAGGTGAGGTTGATGGTAACAAGAGATGGCACCTCACCTTTGGAATTCTATTCCCCCTCAAGGCCCAGCTGGAACTTGTTTTACCTCCTGCTGATAGTGGACCACTCCAGTGCTCAAGGGAAGCAGATGTGGGTTATGCAGCCCCTAGAGGTAGGAAAGAATTTATGGTTGCCACAAGATTGCCACAAAAATTGTTGCATTGCCGGAGTGTGTTGCCTTTTTGCAACCGGGGCAGGTGACAGTGGCTGAGGAAAGGCATCTGAGATCCTGGCCCCTAGTTCAAAGCAATGGAAGAAGGATTTTTCATTCCCCCCCAGCTCAAGCTTTGTCTTGTTTTGCTTTTCCATCCCTCAAATAAATAACATAGTCAATAAAATTGTGTTGAATGGTGAAGGCATTGTGTGGTGGCTACTGAAAATAACTGTGTGTTTGACTTGATTATAGTAATTGATATGCTTTACAGAAATCTCTTTGGATGTAGGGAGAGTTGTAGCCTTTTTCTCTAGGTTAGAAGCTGGTGAACAGAAAACACTGTCAGAGTGAATTTTTGCTTCATAGTTTGCTTTGAAAGAAAAATGGTGTTGTCAAGGAAACAGATTCTAGCTGGGTTCTCGGGTAATAAAAGTAGTGAGGGGAAAGTCAGTGCAGCTGTACCATTTATAAATCAAAATTGCTTTTATAATTGTCACCTTCTCCAGCGATAGCATTAAGAACAAATTACTTCCTCACTAATCTAATTGCAGAATACTACTTTGGGGTCCTGCTGCTGTGGAACATCACAAGACATGCAAGAGTTTGGGAAAGTCACTGTGGCAGCAGCCAAGCATGGAAGAAATTCTGAATCTGCTGGACCGAGAGATGATGATGAGGACTATTCTCCATTTCCCACAGCACCGACATCTTCTTCTCCAAGAGGTGCCTTGGATTAATTGCAGATGACCGTCCCTTTTGATAGACAGTTGGGGACCATTTTGATTTTAGCTGCTCAGTCACATTCTTAAAGGTAGCATCCAAAGTATTGAGGCATAATGGTAATTACTTCAAATCATTTGCGTCAGAAAATATTTTCCAGTGTTTTTTGTTTTCCTCAGTTACATTCAGTTTTAAACTGCAGCAACAAAACCCTTTGAATTCACTGAGGTTTCAAATTTGGAGCTAATTATAGTTTGATGTCCAGGGACTAGGGATGTGGTTGGATCCTTTAACTTCTTGGAATGTTTGCTGTGGGCTGCTGCCTTGGAGGGGTACTGGCAGTCAGGAACAAGCTGAGCCAAATGGCCCCCCATGTTGCACGCAGTGCCACAGGGGCCACTTGCTGGCCCTGGGTCATGGAGACAATGGCAGTGAGCTGCACCCATTGCCTTTGTTGTCTTTGCCCAGATCTGAGTGAGCAGCCCCTGTGGTGACGCCTGCACTGCAGGGACCACTTGGTTCAGTTTGCTGCAGACCTGTATAGTCTGCTCCTAGATTACCAACCATGCAAAAATCACTGTCAAATTGCACACTTTTAATACAGTTTTTGTACAAAGAGAGTGCCTGTTAAGTTAGTTCCAGTTCACATTAAGCTAGAGGAAGCCATAAGAAACACAGAAACAATAACAACACTGCTATGAGAACTGCATTCCAGCTTTACAGTAGTCACAGTGCTGGCATGCCTTTGGTTGCAAGGAGCCATCACAGTGATCAAAGTTCATCATATTTTTTGAAACTCTGCTTCCCATTATTTTATGTCCTTTGTTTAGGAAGAACAGATACGACAAGGCAAAGGCAAAAACAAGGTGGATCTTCGAGATCTGTATGACCCCTGTTTCCTTCTTCAGCTCTTCAGTGAATTACTGAGACCAGGTACAGGATATCATCTTGCATTCAGGGAAATATGACTGTGGACACAGACTATGGTTAAACAAATATATTTGCACTATAGTCTAAGGGGGGGGGGTCTTGAAAGCAGGGATCCTCCTTGAAATGCATGCAGCAGTTACTTACCCTTTACAGACTTTAGCCTTCTCTTACTGACCTGTTCCACTTACAAAGGGGTCTGCATCGTCTTTGTATTTGGAATTTTTGTTAAACTCTTGCTTTTCACCTATTTTCTAAGAGAGTAATAATGGCTATAATCTTCCATTCAGAAGCTATTAAGAACATAAGAGATGCCAATGTTGGATCAGGCCAAAGGCCCATCCAGTCCAACACTGTGTGTCACACAGTAGCCAGAAATACCAGTGCCATCAGGAGGTCCACCAGTGGGGCCAGGACATTAGAAGCCCTCCCACTGTTGCCCCCCCCCCCAAGCACCAAGAAGACAGAGCATCACTTGCCCCAGAGCCCCTATCTATACCTTGTGGCTAATGGACCTCTGCTCCATATGCTTATATAATTCCCTTTTGAAGCCGTCCATGCTTGTAACCGCCACCACTTCCTGTGGCAGTGAATTCCATGTGTTAATCACTCTTTGGCTGAAGAAGTACTTCCTTTTATCCGTTCTGACCTGACCACTCAGCAATTTCATTGAGTGCCCACGATTTCTTATATTGTGAGAAAGGGAGAAAAGTACCTCTTTCTCTACCTGCTCTATCCCATGCATAATCTTATAAACCTCGATCATGTCACCCCTCAGTCATCGTTTCTCCAAGCTAAAGAGCCCTAAGCGCTTTAACCTTTCCTCATAGGGAAAGTGTTCCAACCCTTTTATCATTCGAGTTGCCCTTTTCTGCACTTTTTCCAAAGCTATAATATCCTTTTTAAGGTGTGGTGCCCAGAACTGCACACAGTATTCCAAATGAGGTCGCACCATTGATTTATATAGGGGCATTATGATATTGGCTGATCTGTTTTCAATACCCTTCCTAATAATCCCCAGCATAGCATTGGCCTTCTTTATTGCAGTCACACACTGTCTCGACATTTTCAGTGAGTTATCCACTACAACTCCAAGATCTCTCTCTTGATCAGTCTCTGCCAGTTCAGACCCCATCAATGTGTATTTATATTTAGGATTTTTAGCTCCAATGTGCATCACCTTGCACTTGGCCACATTGAACCCCATTTGCCATGTTGACGCCCACTCGCCCATCCTTGACAGATCCCCTTGGAGTGCCTCACAATCCTCACTGGTTTTCACCACCCCGAACAACTTTGTATCATCCGCAAATTTAGCCACTTCACTGCTTACTCCCATCTCCAAATCATTAATGAACAAGTTAAAAAGCAGTGGACCAAGTACTGATCCCTGCGGTACCCCACTGCTTACCACCCTCCACTGAGAAAATTGCCCACCTACACTCACTCTCTGTTTTCTATGAACTAGCCAGTTTTTGATCCATAAAAGGACTTGTCCTTCTATCCCATGATTTTTGAGCTTACTTAGGAGCCTTTGATGAGGAACTTTATCAAAAGCTTTCTGGAAGTCAAGGTAAATAATATCTATTGGATCCCCCTTGTCCACATGTTTGTTCACCCCCTCAAAGAACACTAACAGGTTAGTGAGACAAGATCTTCCCTTACAGAAACCGTGCTGAGTCTGCCTCAATAGGTTTTGTTCATCTATGTGCCTACTAATTCTTTCCTTAATAATGGTTTCCACCAATTTACCCGGTATCGACGTCAGACTGACTGGCCTGTAATTTCCCGGATCTCCTCTGGAACCCTTTTTAAAGATGGGAGTGACATTAGCTACCTTCCAATCCTCAGGAATGGAGGCAGATTTTAAGGAAAGATTACATATCTTTGTCAGGAGATCTACAAGTTCACATTTGAGTTCTTTCAGAACTCTCGGATGTATGCCATCTGGGCCTGGTGATTTTTCAGTTTTTAAGTTGTCTATCAGTTTTAGGACCTCCTCTCTCATCACCTCAATCTGACTCAGGTCTTCCAACACCCCTCCTGAAATCAGTGGTTCTGGAGTGGGCAAGCACTTCTCATCTTCCACAGTGAAGACGGAGGCAAAAAATGCATTTAGCTTCTCAGCCATTTCCCTATCATCCTTCAGTACTCCTTTTACCCCTTGGTCATCCAAGGACCCCACTGCCTCCCTGGCTGGTTTCCTGCTTCTAATGTATTTGAAGAAAGTTTTATTGTTGGTTTTTACATTTTTTGCTATATGCTCCTCATATTCCCTTTTTGCCTGCCTGACCACAGACTTGCATTTTATTTGCCATAGCCTGTGTTCCATTTTATCAGCCTCACTGTGACTAGCTTTCCACTGCTTAAAGGGATCCTTTTTACCTTTTACATCTTCCATTACTTTGTTTGTTAACCATGCAGGCTTTTTCCGATACCTGTTTGTGCCTTTCCTAACCTGCGGAATATTTTTTTTTTTAAGCTTCTAGGATCGTACTTTTAAATAGCTTCCAAGCTTCTCCAATGGCCTCTTAAACCTGTTGGCCTCTTCCTCAAATATCTGGCTTTCTTTACTCAGTGTGTGAAGGGTTGATATGATCCTAGCGTGTACTTACCCAAACCCTGCCTCTCTTGCTGCCGCCAGATTATATGATATTCTGGCTTGAAAGCCGGAAGCTGCCTGGATAATCATTCAGTTACACTACATATGTTAGCTCGCAAGAGCTAACAGAGACAAAGCCTGACTCCAGACACTATAGTGTTAAACTTTTTTGCCTTAATGAAGCTGACAGTCAGGATGCCCCTCCACACTATTCTTCCCAAATGGGGAGAAATGATGGCAGAAAGAGGAGCCATATGGCCAGATGGAGGAACACTGCAGTACCCCACTCAGCTATTCTCTTGCGGGAGTTCCTTGGAGCCAGCAATACCTGTGCTGAAATCCACATTTTGGCCCTATTAGTCTGGCTCACTACAGCCGCCATAAGATGAGCTGGCTTTATGATTCCTTGTCATACCATCTAGTTCTCTGTGGAATCCACTGTAAATTCTCACATCATTACGTGCATCCCTGGGCAAGAAGTGCTGCAGATAAATGAAAAGAAAGAGCTTCTCTGGGCATTGTTGTTATTACCAAGTTTTTGTTTTTTTCTGTATAGGAGGCACAGCCTCAGTCTTCATTGTTTGGTGACAGAGGCGATTCAGTACTTGTGTTCTTGCTCATCGGAGTGCAGATCTGCCTATAAATGATTGGGGATCAGGGGCCTGTTTATCATGGGCAAGTTCTCCTGTTGTTCTCTGGGTAAATGCTGCTTTGTGGCACCTGTTTTGCATTTGCTGTGCAGCAATGATCTCTTGTAAAGCAAACGTTTCCTCAGTCACCCGCCAAAGAGTAGGACATATGAGGGCTGCAGGATGGATTGTGAGAGCCTTGATGGGCCTTTATCTGAGATGCTTTGCTGTTTTGGCAGGAAACCATAACCATATTATGTGACCTGGTTTTGTGATTCTGCATTGTGGGCCTGATCACACATGGCTGGGCGGTAGTTGCCACTGAATCCCATCCCCTTGGTCCAGTTCCTCTCCCATGTTCCCTCTCACAAGTGGAAAAGGACAATTTGCTTCTAGTAAGGAGTTTTCCACATCTCTCTTGCTGTAGCATTGTAATCCAGTCTTCTGTTTCTAGAAATTTAGGAGAGGCAGGATGTTTGCTGTTTGCACTTGTGAAATTTATATTAGATCATTTCTTGGTTGCTGCCATGTAGGTTGTGTGGAATTTGGGGTACATTAGAGATTAACAGCAACTGAGAAAGGTGCACAGCAGACAAGATAGCTAGATCAAAATCTCCCATTTTCTCAAATTCTGCAATTTATGCACAGGGGTCCTTGGGTTTAAATGGTTTGACCAGCAATTGAAAAACCATTCTTTTAATCCCCTACTTACTTTCTTGAGAAAAGATGATTACTTCTCCTACCATTACAAGAATTGTTTTGAAAGCCACAAATTGTTTTTGAGTTGTATTCTCCATCAGGACTTTTTAAGGACCTTTTTCATCGCTTCCCTCATTTTTCGATCTTACCTGCATTTTTGTCTCCTTCTGTAACTCTATCCAAGCTGTAGCTCGTGCTTTGGCTCCTCTTAGAAATCCATCCAGCTTTGCCTCCGTTGCTGCCTCCCCAAATTTGTCAAATTACAAAAGGATACTCCTACTTACTGTATGCCACAATGCTTCCTTTTATCCTCTAAATATTTTTTCAAAAACCTCCTGCCTCCATAGAATCTTTTGCAGTCCCACTACTGTCATTTTGAATTCTCGGTGGAACATTCCTGAGCATGCTGGGCTGTATTAGCATGTGGTCCAAAGAACCTTTGTTATATTGTTGCTTCCTGCTGGTATTGTAATGGCACCCTATGAATAAATGTTCCATAATTACTCCTCACTGGATGTGCAAGCCCCACATTAGTCACAAAAGGGAAAAAAGACCCCTCTGGTAATATCTAGAAGTTATAGTTATCTCAGCAGCCATTTCCCCTGATCTTTCCAAGGTTCTACAAACAAACTGTATGTCCAACATAAATCAAACTTACTCCACATACCAACTGTTGACTTCATTTCACAAGGCTGGATCTTTGTTATAAATGTTTCCTTCCATGACCTCTGTTCAGGTTTTCAAATGAATCTTCTGTTCCTCAGTTCCACATTAACCATAAAACAGAGTGAGAGTCTTTGTTGACAGTGTCCTTTAGCATGAGAGAACAATGGTAGCCGAGTGAGGCGTGGGATTAACTCAGAACAGTTCTGCCTCCTGGTTCCATATTCACAATCACGAGCTTGGATTAAAATCACTGTTCTACAAATGCATTTGCATTGAATGAAAAGACAAACAAAACCTTTAACCAAATTGTATTAATCGCTTCATGGGGTGTGTGTATGTGTGTATAAAAGTGTGGTTAAGGGCCATTACTTGGTTTTAACTGATCTTGAATATGCACCCTGAGAGGTCAGAACAGAATTAAGGGAGGAGAAATGTGTTCAAAGGAAAGAGATGGATGGGGGTTGGTGGGAAAACACAGAACGCAAGCCCCTTAGGAAATGGGATGCAAGAAGGCCTCATGTCCACAGGGTCTTGCACTATGTGAAGAGGTATTCAGTTAAACAGAGGCATCTCAGAGGATGAGTTCAGCTACAGGAATGCTACAAAAATGTCAGTTCTGTAATCAAGCCCCTATTTAACTGGAAAGGGCTACTTTGTGTACAAGTGACCTTTTTAAAGGATTTTGAGAGAACATCCTTTATAGGTTGGGTGGGAGGAAGGGAGAGATGTGATTACTATTTTATTCTGGTTTTAATCTAGAAATGCTTTTGAACTACTATTGTAAACCACTTACAGTGAGGAAAGATGGAGTACAAAATTTTTAATAAATGAATTTGTTTTGGTTTCTTGTAGAATGTGTTGTAGGATGTCCAAAGTTTATTGACGTCAATGCTTTGGGGCTAACAATAGCAGCCCTAAGCAGTTACGACCATAACGTGCGAGCAGCAGCATACTATGTCCTGGGCTCTTTTCGCTTTCACCTTGAAGGGGCTCGATTTCGAGAACAAAAGCAGGTAATAATATGCTACTTTTACACAGTGTTTTGGAATCTAGCCTTGCAAAATTAAAAATTGTTTGGTAAGTATCTCACAGAAGCGAGGCACTCCAAAGGGATCTGTCAAGGATGGGCAAGTTGGCGTCAACGTGGCAAATGGGGTTCAGTGTGGCCAAGTGCAAAGTGATGCACATTGGAGCCAGAAATCCTAACTATAAATACATGTTGATGGGGTCCGAACTGGCAGAGACTGACCAAGAGAGGGATCTTGGAATCGTAGTAGATAACTCAATGAAAATGTCAAGACAGTGTGCAACTGCAATAAAAAAGGCCACCGCTATGCTGGGGATTATTAGGAAGGGAATTGAAAACAAGTCAGCCAGTATCATAATGCACTGTATAAATTGATGGTGCAACCTCATTTGGAATACTGTGTACAGTTCTGGTCACCACACCTCAAAAAGGATATTATAGCATTAGAAAAAGGGCAGAAAAGGGCAATTAGAATGATAAAAGGGTTGGAACACTTTCCCTATGAAGAAAGGTTAAAATGCTTGGGGCTCTTTAGCTTGGAGAAACGACGACTGAGGGGTGACATGATCGAGGTTTATAAGATTATGCATGGGATAGAGCAGGTTGAGAAAAAAGTACTTTTCTCCCTTTATCACAATTCGTGGGCACTTAATGAAATTGCTGAGCAGTGGGGTTAGAACAGATAAAAGGAAGTACTTCTTCACCCAAAGAGTGATTATCACATGGAATTCACTGCCACAGAAGGTGGTGGCGGCTACAAGCATGGACAGCTTCAAGAGGGAATTAGATAAGCATATGGGGCAGAAGTCCATCAGTGGCTATTAGCCACAAGGTATAGACAGGAACTCTCAGTCTGGGGCAAGTGATGCTCTGTATTCTTGGTGCTTGGGGGGGGGCAACAGTGGGAGGGCTTCTAGTGTCCTGGCCTCACTGCTGGACCTCCTGATGGCACCTGGTATTTTTGGCCACTGTGTGACAGAGTGTTGGACTAGATGGGCCATTGGCCTGATCCAACTTTGGCTTCTCTTATGTTCTTATGTTCTTGCTAATTTTCCTCCATAAAATATGTGAATATGCACCTTATAATTTTCTCATCCCTAAATGTGCAGTTTCTGTAGTGATCTAATACATAAAAATATTACATATGGAGTCATATGAGAATGCAAAACTCTATTTCTATTAGTAGTAATACCTTTAATCATGCCCCCATACCCATTTTGTGATATTAGAACATTCTTTTGTAATTCGCTTATGTTATCATTGATAGATTATGGCTTGGATCCTACTTATATTTCTGTGGGCACCAGGCAAGGGGGCATTTTTGCTACATTCCTCCAAGAACACTGTTTTGGGTGGTGTTTAGGGCAGCCAAAAGAAGGAGAAATTGGTGAAAATAACCCCCTTTCCTTGCACCCTCGAAAATCTAGGAGGAATCCGTGTGTCTGATTAACTTCCCCTGCAGTTTCTGTGAGGGAAATGTTCTGTTGTCATACAAAGATGGATCTTGCAGATGTGATTTGACAGTTGCCAATGGGATTCCAAAACCTACTTTCTAATATTTTTATGTTTTGCTCTCATGTTACAGTTGCTTTACCTTATGGATGTGGTGCAAAATGGAATCAGACAACCAAATCTCAGATTCACTTTCCCTTTAACACTCTACATTGCTAGAGTAGCCCAACACATGCTGAAACCAGGTACTGCAGAACAAGCTCTACTTTGTTTTTCAATCAATGGTTATCTAATGAAGTAAGAAAGATTAGAAAGGCTGTACAGGACTGTTAACTGTTTTATTTGAATAAATTATTTATTATTATTATTTATTTTATTACATTTATACCCCGCCCTCCTCGCGAATGGGCTCAGATGGCTTTGTGATGAATAGTAATTTTCTAGTCTGTTTTTCATGCAGTCATCTGCTCTGTGTGTTCATGTGTAAGATAGTGTAATTTTCGTGAAAATTATATTTGATGGAGGAATGAGAATTCATTCAGGTGATTTGTTTTATAAGAATTTCAGTTTGCTGTGCAGTAAAATAGGAGAGGTGTGCTTTTTTAAAAGGAGAATATAAAATTATTCAGTTTCTTCTATGCACTTAATTGAATTCACATACTTATTTTTCCTCATGCTACAACAATTACTCTGTTTCTTTCACAGAGGAACATATGTACACAAAGCTGAACAAGTTTCTTCTTTCTCTCCAATACTTAAATTTGAAGAAAGTGCCGGGATTTTTTCAGCTATTCTATAGTTTTGATATAGAGGTAATGTAAATATCACCCTCTCATGATTTATCCTGCCCTTATTCCAAAGAGCTCAAGGCGGCATGCCTTGTTCTCTCCTCTACCATTGTATCTTTGCAAAACCCTTGTGGGGCTGGTGAGGCTGAGAGAGTGAGCGACTGGCCCAGGCTGCCCAGCAAGCTTCAAGGCAGAGTGGGGATTTGAACCCCTGGGCGTGTCCAGTCCTAGTCTGACATGTTAAACACTATGCCACACTGGCTGGCTGTGCATATGTTGCATGAATGGCCATTCCTAAATAGTATGATTGCTTTTCTGCTCTTCCATGCCCAGAGAATTTTGTGCACAAGTGATATCAGCTAACTGGCTTTGAAAACCTTTGTTTAATTTGTGCAACAAAACCTCAACATATCTTCATGCATAAATACCGGCCCGGCATCTTCAAAATCTTCAAAAATAGTTCAGAAAAAAAAAAGATTTTGTGTCTAGCATGGCTGCCTGCCTCTCCCTCACAGCTTCCTGTCGTCCTCTCCTCTTCAGACCTTGTTAACATTGTTTCCACACTGTTTCTCCTTCTGCTTACTGCGCTGCAGTTTACAGAATAATAATGCAAAATTCAATGTCACATACTGAATTTTTTAAAATCACGACAGTTGAATATGTTTCTTCATGTGTGTAGTATTGAATTGCACAAACCAATATGCAACCAAATTTTTTGTTGGTGAACACCCCATCATATGTCAAGTGCAAATTCACCAGAATGCCTGGTGAAGGCATTGTGTGAGTTTCATAGATGGCATAACAAAAAGGGCTATTGTAGCTGGGATTTGTAGTTTAGATCATGGGGGATCAGATGCTCTTAGTAAAAACTTTGGGTATCACCACTGTTTTTCTCTGCATTTACAACATATTTTTTTCTCCGTCTCTCTTCCCCAACCCTGCATATGTTAATCTATAGAATCCAGTGAAATATGATGGAAAAGAGATACAGTGTAATTTGTTTGGTTTTCACATAATTAATTTTTGTATAATCTTGGTGGTTCTTCTCTTCCAGCACAAATTGGAACGGAAATGGGTTCTAGCAATTATTGGGGAAGGACTCCGAGATAAACACTGCTATGAGTTGTATGATTATCAGAGGATTTTCCATGTCATTCTTTCTTTCTTCCACAGCCCACTTTGTGATGAAGCTACTCAGGTAAAATGTAACTAAAACACACAAACACCTCAAAATCAAACAACTTTTTATTTAAAACAAAATGGATATTTGGTCACTTTTTAAAATGATCTCATTTAACCAGATCAAAAAGGGATCCAGTCAAGTTAAGTCTCTCGAATCTTGCCAACTTGAGCCTGAGACCTCAAGATTTATTGATAAGGTTTTAAGATAGAACCCAATTATTATTACATGTATTTGTCCTACAAACTAATAAAAGAATGTGAAAGTCAGATACAGATTTTATGCTGACTTTTAATAATAGTAGACTGAATTGTGATAATACACCTTTTGAAAAAAGAGAAGCTGTATATCAGTGATGAAATCACTGTACAAAATTTGGGGCATCCCAATCATGAAGAAGGGAAAAAAACTAATTGCATTACAAAGGGGGTTTCTTTATGATAAACTGGATTTAACTCTAATTATGGTGCAGCCCTGATACTGTAATTATAAGTAGGCAATGTACGCTATGTGCATTGAACATATGCTTTGGAAGCCCACTTGCCAAGAATATACAAGATATAAATATTTTAAATAAATAAGGATTAGATCCAACGATCCGTCAGTGGATGGTGATGATTGTGCATCTTCTCCATATTGCGTTTTCTGCACCAGCCCCTTCTGATCCAAGAAAGGTGCTTCCTGGGAACATGGAACCTGTCAAGACTAATTAATTGCTTTCAGACCTGGAGGCTGCAGTGAAGAGGACGAAGGAGGCAAAATTATTTCAGCAGAGCTGGTGCTTTCAGGAGAAAGAGAGAGAGTGTGATTTCTCCCCCTCCTCCCTCCTTGGTACAGCCTCCCCATACGCAACGCTGTAAGCCTACATGGTTCTCTGAGGTCAAAAGGGACTGGTGGACAGAAAAGAAAGATCTGCATTCCTTGCACAAATGAATCACTTAATCCATCTCAAATTTTGTAACTTTTAAGTATGAAGTAAAAATGAAGTTCTATCTTGCAGAATGTATACCTTGGCTTGCTTTCTTTCTGTTAGAAATGCAGAAAGGCATGACTTAGCCCCAGCCAAATGGGTGTGGAAGGCATCACTCTATTTATACCAGAGTACATCAGGAGCTACAGGAGCAGATATACATATGACCAGGGGTCATTTAGTAGAAAAATAGGTGCAGGAGCTCATTTGCATAACATTTGCATATACCACAGTCCCTCACATAGGGCAGGCATGCAAGCATGCCTTCCTCTCCCCCATCTGGTGGAGAGGCTCGGGGGAGGGGGGGTATGTCCAGGGCTGGTGCCAGGTTTTTTTTGGACACTAGGCGAGGCTACCTTCTGGTCCCCCCCCCCCCGCGCGCCCATCAGTTTTCAACATAAATGCATTTTAGGAAGAATTAAAAACACAAAATTTGAAATTGCTAATTTCTTTTTTTTTTAATTGTGAGAACAAGTAATACAATCTCTGATTTTCTCTCTCAAACAGAAAAACAGAAATCACAAAACATTTTGAAAAATCCTGTTCATTGCTGTGTTGAAATTTAAGTCTCTTTAATGTTTCCATTTCAGGCACATTAGAATCTCATTTTGTGTGCCTTTTCTTTAGCAAATTTTGTCACCAATTCCTTGAAATAGTTGCCAAACCGAGTAGTCTCTTTTGCAGCATTGTTGAGCGTATGTTTGTTTTTATAAGTTTGAGTTCTAAGAAGCTGTGTTTACCACTTGCCACTGACACTGGAAGTTCTAGAGAAAATGGATCAGACAGTATGCATGCTTTTAACAACATCTATGTTAAATTATTGTAATATGCCTTATAGTGTGTGTGTGTGGGGGGGCTTTGTCTGTGCCCAACTGGTTTAAAATAAGGTGAAGAGAGTACTAATGAGGAAACATATAACCCCAGTTATATGGGAAACATATAACCCCAGTATTTTCTTGGCTCCCCCCCTTTGAGCTGAGTTCTAATTCCTTTCGGATGGAAGACCTTCCCTATGGTTAAAGAGGTTGGGGCTCTTTAGCTTGGAGAAACAAGGACTGAGGGGTGGGCATAAGAAGAGGCTGATAAAACCATGCAACGTTCCCCCCCCCCCATCTATATGGAACGGTTGGAGAAGCCTGTTTCCATGTAAGTGGTTATGCACTCAGAAGCCTCTACCCAGAATGAAACTTGGGTGGGCCCGCAAGGTGCCCCAGGACTCGGATTTTGTCCTCTTCCTTCAGACCAACAGGGCTGCCCCAGCAGATCGCCCTCCAGTTCTTTATGCTCTTTGTCCTCCCGCCCCCCCCCCCCAAAGATCCTGGCTCCGAGCGGGGCTGCTGGGCTGCTAGTGGGGGGGGAGGGAGCAAGGTGGGCCTCGTTTGAACTCCCCCCTGGCAGGCAGGCCGGGCAGGCGACCCCCACCCCATGCAACATCTGCCTGGTGAAATCCTGGCTTGCAGGCAGATCAGAGACGCGCTAACCTCCCCGCGCCTCAGAAGGCAATTGGGGTGGGGGGAGGCTGGCGGGTTCTGCCCTCTGGTCTCTTGGCCTCAGCTGGAAAGCACTGCTGGGGCCTCCAGAGCTGGAGTCTGCACACACAAATGGATCGCCGACACATGTTGGCACCAGAGAGCTGCATCTCATCTCCCCCCCCCGCTGAGAGTTGAGCCACGCTGGCCTCCCCCCAGTGCTGGTTCCAGCTGCCTAATTGAATCATCCACGGCACAGATAGGGCCAGCAGCCACCAGGCCAATCCCCCCCGCCTCGATAGCCCTGTGGGTCGGCACAGAGTTGCCCCTCCTCCTCCCCCCGTGTTTGAAAAGAAGTGAGTTCGGAGCCCAGCCCGGGTTCCCAAGTGGCTGGGGGGAAGGCACTCTGCACATGGCCAGGGGTAGTCTTATCAGGATTCAGCTGTGTTGGAGTGGCTCTGGGTGCCCGGCCTGAGGGACAGGAGGGCCCAGGTGGGCAGTTGAGCTAGTCTGACCCCGCAAGCGGCCTTGGCAGCTGGGCGCCGGCCTGCTTGGGATGGTGCTCCTTCCCAAGGCAGCCCTTCTCTTCCACATGGAAGGCCTCTCTCCTTGAGGAGCCCAAGATGAACTGCCGGCAGCCATCCGACTGCAGGCCCAGAGGAGCGCCCAGGCCACCACGGGGGGCTTCAACCTCAGCCCCCCCCCCACTCACATCCAGCTCCCTCCATGTCTGCCCTTGGGAGGCCACGAGGTGGCAGAGCACCTAGAAGCCTGCGGAACCACAGCCGCTCATGGCAGCCGGAGGCAGTCCTTCGAAGGCTTCTTGACTCAGGGCGGGGAGGTGCCCCGGGCTACTTTCTGCCGGAGCGCTGCTCCACCGTGCTCTGGGAGGAAATGACCCCTGCATATGACCCAGTTCAGAGCTTGCATGATGCGATAAGAATCTCTGGCTTTCACTTGGATATCCAGTTAAAGCAAGATGGCAGCTGGATGGGAACCAGTATTCTCCTTTCCTTGATAAGTTTAGGGGTAAAATACCACTATACTTTTCCTTCCTCTAGAAGCTGTGATTGAACAGAAGTTAGGGTTGGAATTTGCACCAGCAGCTGTAACTATTGATTTTAAATGTTTATAATGAAATGTTTTATTGTGTTTTAAACTTTATTGTATTATTTGAGATGATGTGACTCCACCCTGAGTCCGCTCACAGGATGGGCGGGATTCAAATATGAAAAATAAATAATTTTTTAATAAATGTATGTGAAGCTGCATTTCCTAGGCCTTTTGCACACTTCTGGGTTGTGCCCATACTTGCCAGATAATCAGGTGACCGTTCCAGGGGGATAGCTTTGTTAGTCTGTTGCCACAAAAATGATGACAAGTCCTGCAGTGTCAGTTTGTCTTTAAGGTGCTACCAGACTTGTTGGATTTGCAGATAATTAGATGCAGGGGTCGGATGGGGCCGGAACTCTCTGGAGCGCCGCTCCGGGAGTGAGGAGCCCAGGGGGCAGGGCTTCCTAGGGGTGCGGAGATCCGCGGCGCCCTGGGAGGCCTGGCCACCCCTCCCTGCACTTCCCAGAGCTGTGGAGATTCGCGGCGCCTCGGGAGGCTCGGCCACCCCTCCCTGCGCTTCCCGGGGCCGCGGAGATCTGCAGCGCCCCGGGAGGTCTGGCCACCCCGTCCCAAGGTTCCCGAACTGGAGCCTTGAACTGGCTTGGCTGGTTGCCTGTGAGTCCCGGTGCAGAAAAAAAGCCCTTGAGTTAGTCCGTTTTGAATTTGTTTGGGTTTTTTTTGGGGGGGGGAGCTGGCATGCCCATATGGAGCCTTGAACTGGCTTGGCTGGTTGCCTGTGAGTCCCCGTGCAGAAAAAAAGCCCTTGAGTTAGTCCGTTTTG